TTTATAATTGGGAAACATTTGTTTCTTTCTAAATTTTAAATATCAAGCTTTCCTAAAGGACTTTGAAAAACTTATGCCTCGAGATCAAGTGACTTATAGAAGGGTAGGCCTGGGCTTAGTCAGCTGATAGCAAAGATGCTGGAATGTTGGGTGATATTCAAGTCTGGTGACTTTTCCTGGCATGAATTAGCAATAGAAGAATGATTCTAGGGAAATCCTGGCTTTTCAAATTATACAGCTTTAATTGGTGTTTAATGTAGTCAGGAGCAGCAATTCTGAAACCCTTTGGTTTCAGGATCTCATTTTACATTCTTAAATTACTTAGGTCCCTTCTAGATGGATTGTTATTTGGTTTTATTTGTCTATTTACTAGGTTAGAAATTAAAATGGGAAGTCTTCAGAATGTTCATAAATTATTTAAAAATAACAATAAACCAGTTACATGGAAATGTAAATATTATTTTTGATGGAAAAATAATTATTTTTTCTCATTCAGAATTAATAGAAAGTACGATATGATTTTGCATTTTTCAAAATTGTTTAATGCTTGGCTTAATAAGTAATAGATTCTCATCTACCTTCTATATTTTTTTGTTTTAAATACATGAAGATTTAGTGTCATATAGGTACCTAGAAAAAGGGAGTGTATTAATAGCTTTTCCAGATGATTGTGTAAACTTTTCTTTAATAATACATCAAAATTCCACAAGTGGAAATTCCTTCAGTATTAGTTGCATAATAGAGTCTGAAACTGTATGTTTTCAGTTTGTGTTTCGTATATGTGGGCAGATAAACATGCACGTGTGTGTGCATGTATATGGAGGGCAGAGGTCAACTTTGGGTATAATTTCTTAGTAACCATCTACCTTGTTTTCAGATATCAGGCTTCTTACTGGGACATAGGGCTGCTGGCCAGCCACAGAAACCCAAGAATCCTTCCGTCTCTGTCTCCTCAGTACAGGGATTATAAATACCCATCACCAAACTTGGCTTTTTATGTGAGTTCTGAGGCTCAAACTTAGGCCTTAATATTTATGTGTCAAGTATTTTACTAACTGGGGTATCTCCCTAACACTTTCAGTTTGGGTTTTGTCAGTTTAAAAACATTGATTATTCTGCTGGGCGTGGTGGCGCAAGCCTTTAATCCCAGCACTTGGGAGGCAGAGGCAGAGGCAGGCGGATCTCTGTGACTTCAATGCTAGCCTGGTCTACATAGTGAGTTCCAGGACAGCTGGGGCTACGGGGAGACCCTGTCTCAAAAAGACCAAACAAACAAACAAAAGAAACATTGATTATTCTTACTTTATTTTCTTTTTGTGCTGAGGATTGAACCTAGGGCTTTGTCAGGTGAAGCAAGCACTAGCACTGTGTTATTCAGCTATATCCAGCTACTGTTGTCTTTGGAATGGAAATGTGTTTGGTTTTTAAACATGTCTTGGTCATAAGGAAAGTAGTGTTACTTTAAAATTTTTTGAGTAATTTTTTTTATTTTATGTGTATGAGTGTTTTGCCTGCACGTATGTAAGTGCACCCATTTGCACAATGCTCACAGAGGCCAGAAGAGGGCATTGGCAGATCCCCTGGAACTGGAGTTAAGGTTGGTTGTTAGCTGCCATGTGAGTGCTGAGAACTGAACCCAGGTCCTCTGCAAGAGCAACTAGTGCTCTTAATTGCTGAATCATCTCTCTAGACCCTTGTTAATTATTATTTTTTTTTTAAATGGCTTGTTTTCTTTTTTGGTTTGCCTTTTGAGACAGGGTCTCACTATGTAGCCCTTACTGCCTTGGAAGTCACGGAGGTTCACCCTTCCCTCCTGAGTCTTGGGATGAAAGGCATGTGCCAGTGTACCCTGCAATAATGGGTTTCTTAATGCCAATTTTCCAAATGTTGATATATAGATTTTTTAATCACATTTGATGATAATGCCACTGACTTTCTAACAGAAATTCTTTGTATTGAGAAACTGTCAAATTTGCAGTGGCAGTTGACAGGCTTTCTAAAGTTGTAATTTTTTTCAGAAAAGCCTTTTAGAACTGATTCTATCATTTGAAGAATGGATCTGTCAAATGCCCTTATCTGACACTTTGTCAATCAATTGTTCTTTCAATTAAAAATGATATTTAGTTGCCAGGTAGCGCTTGCCTTTAATCCCAGCACTGGGAGGCAGAGGCAGAGGCAGGTGGATCTCTGTGAGTTGAAGGCCAGCCTTGTCTATATATTGAGTTCCAGGATAGCTGGGGCTACAGGGAGACCCTGTCTCAAAAAAACCAAAAAAAAAAAAAAAAAAAGATTAATGAAAACAGTAGTTCAGTGTGTAGTAGAAACAGTTGTACAAGTTCTTTACCTTGAGACAACTGTCATACTTTAATATAATTTGTGTGTGTGTGTGTATTGACAGTAGCTATATGGAGGTCAGATGACAACCTTAGTTATCAGTCTTTACCGTCTACCTTCTTTGAGACAGAATCTTTCTTGTTGTCTACTACTGCATATACCAGGCTTACTGGCCCATAAGCTTCCGTGGATTTCCCTGTCTTTGCCTGATATCTTGCCGTAGGATCCCTAAGATTACAAACGTGTGCTACTATACCTGGCACCACAAGCACTTTACCTATTGAGCCATCTTCCCAATCCCAACATAATTTATTTTTCCTGCTTTATCAAGGAAAGTAGCACATATAGACTTGTTTAGTAACCAGTGGTTATAATTCTTAGTGTTGTCAGTTGAATATGATGTGCATTTCACTCCTTTAAAAAATTGCTGTGTGAAAAGCTGGGTGTGATGGCTCACATCTGTAATCCCAGAACTCAGAGGTTGAGGCAGGAGGATTGCTGTGGATTGAAGTGGTATATAGTGAATGCTCTGACAAACTGAGCTATAGTGTGAGACCATGTCTGCAAAAAGAAAACCAAAAAAAGTTGCTGTATAATGCTAGCCTAACATTTGTGAAGCCCTTGTGTGGTTCTCTGTACAGTGGGGGAGGGAGGAAGTATTGTCTGTGTAAACAGATTCCATCATAATTTAGATTAGAGTCAGGCTTCCTAATATTGTCTCTTCTTAAAATTTTTTTGATTGATTGATTTTTTTGGGGGGGGGAGGTCTTTTTGAGACAGGGCCCCCCTGTAGCCCCACCTGACCTGGAACTCACTATGTAGACCAGGCTAGCCTCGAACTCACAGAGATTTGTCTGCCAGTGCTGGGATTAAAGGTATGTGCCTTTAATCTTTAAACTTTTAATCTTTAAACTTTTTAATCTTTAAACTTTTTGTTTCTTTTGGTCTTTTTGAAACAGGGTCTCCCTGTAGCCCCATCTAGACCAAAACTCACTCTGTAGACCAGGCTGGCTTTAACTCACAGTGATCTATCTGCCTGGCTCTGCCTCTCCAATGCTAGGACTACAGGTGTGCACTACCATGCCTGGCCTCTTTTTTTCTGTACCATAACAGTAAGAATGTAAAGGAGAACTTTATTTTTATTTTATGTGTATGAGTGTTATGCCTGCATGTGTATAAGTGCACCTGTGCCATGCAGTGTCCTCAGAGGACAGAAGAGGGCCTTGGATCCCCTGGAACTGGAGTTGCAGATGGTTGTTATATACCATGTTTTCTAGGATTCAAACCTGGGTCTTCTGCAAGAACAGCCAGTGCTCTTAACCCCTGAGCCATCTCTCCAGCCCCAGGAGAACTTTTTAAATACAAATTATAATTAGTTCAAATGTTATTTAGATGAGAATGCTTGACTTTTGTTTTAAAATTGCCTTAAACTGAAATAGACCTGTTTGGTAGTGTAAGGCAGAATAAACTAGAGATAGTGGTTTACATATGTTTTCACTTTTGGGAATTTAGTTGTTAAACTTTGTTTTATTTAAAATTTTTTTGAAGCTTTCTATTGATTTACACATAATCGTAGGATATAGAATGCATAGTGAACTCAGGTTCAACTCTTTTGGCTTCATGAATTATCAGTTCATAGACAATCCTATTTCATTTATTCCACACCCACTTCTTCCTTGTAACCCTTAATTAATGTTGAGCCAAATTCCAAATATCATTTTTATTCTTAAACAATTCAATATGTATTTCTCCAAAAATAAAAATTTAAGATTGTAGCTTAAAAAGCAGAAAAACTGATTTCTTTAAAAATATGTACTAGTGGTTGGAGAGATGGCTCAGCGGTTAAGAACACTTATTGTTCTTACAGAAGACCCAGGTTTGAATCCCAGCACCCACATGACAGGTAACAACTGTCTGTAACTCCAGTCCCAGGGGATCCAACAGCCTCTTCTGATCTCCATGGGTATTGCACGACACGGGTGCACTTACCTACATGCAGGCAATACATGCATACACAGAAAATAAAAATAATAAGTAAAATTTTAAAAAACGTTTAAAAATATGTACTAATAGCCTCTTGGTGCTTAACAGAAATGTCATGTCTGATATTTTTTTGCATCAGTGTGTTTTCAGATTAGAGATTCTGGTGTTAGAGTTATGTTCCTATTACAAAGGCCTGAGATAATTCAGCTAAACAGAAGAAAAGGTTTATTTTGGCTCATACTTTTGGAGGTTTCAGCTAATTGCCATCTGGTCCTGGCTTTTGGGTGTGCGGTGAGACAATATATCATGGTGGGATCATGTGGTAGAAAATTCCAGCATACCTGATGGTGCTATTGAAACAGTCAGAGCTGGGTCCCAGTATTCCCAGTATTCCCTTTAAGGCCTCCATTGACCTGTCTTCCTCCTATTAGATACTACCTCTCAGAGTTTTCACTCCTCATAGTGTTATAGGCCAGCAGCAAAGCCTTTCACATGTGGACTTTTGAGAAACGATTATGCAAATGACAGTAGTAGCATAGAGCACTTTGGGGGCTATTTTTGCTTGAGCTTTTCTGCTTGTTCCAAGATGGTCATTGGATTATTATTATGATTATATAAGTAGAAAAACTGAATATGGATGACTAGAAGTTTTAAAATTGTTTAAAGATTTTGGGGTTTTCCAGGATGAAGAGATTCGGCATAGCCTTGAGTGCATCCAGGCCAATCAGATCTTTCCCAGAAAGCAGCTGATTCGGGAGGATGAGAATCTTCAGGTAATTATAGACTACTTTTGACTATGTAGTATATATTTAGCATCCCAGTAATGATGGAGCAAAACTAATGGGTTGAAGTAGTATATTATGTAACATACATTTTCCCTAAAATGTAAGCTGGAAGACATCTTTCATTTTTGCAAGTCTTATTTCCTGAAAATTCATTGTTTGTGACGATCATTTATCTCATCATTCTCTTTCCATTTTTTTGCTTAATGTGTACTGTACTTTATAAACTTGTATGGCAGAAGGTTTACTGTCCATTTATTCACCTGAACCTACTTTTTTTTTTTTGGGCGTGTATTGTCTGTGTCTGTGTATGTCACATGTGTGTAGGTGTCAGCAGATGCCAGAAGAAGGCATCAGATCCCTTGGTGCTGGAGTTACAGGTGGTTGTGAGCCAGACGATGTGGGTGCTCAGAACTGATCTCAGGTCTTACTTTGAAGACTTGGCTTGTCTGCTTCAGAACTCTGAAAAGTTTCTCCTTCTGTTTTCAAGGTTCCTTTCCTTGAACTTCATGGAGAGAGCACAGAGTTTGTGGGCCGTGCCGAGGAGGCCATCATTGCCCTTTCTAATTACAGGCTTCACATCAAATTCAAGGAGTCTCTTGTTAATGTAAGTGATTACCAACCATTCTTCTTGTAAGGTGGACAGGAAAGAAGTTGGAAAAAACCTGATAATGTTTTGGAAGAGATGGGTGTCTTAGAGGATTGGTTGTGTGAAAGCATTGTGTGCTGTACTTTTCTCTTAATTTCATGCTCAAGGGATATTAGATTAATAAGACACTCTTACAGTTTATTTAAAACAGTGAATCTTGTCAGCTGAGGTATGCATTGTTAGTTAACGCTAAATAATTTGTACTAAGTAATGCTGTACTATTGTTTTATTCAAGTACAAAGACTGAATAGGCCTTTCTATCCTTCCTTGCTTTTTAGTAGTTAGCAACTGCTTCAGTTGAGATAGTTCCTTGGGCCTTAATGTCAAATGAGAAGATGTTCTTTGTACTTACTGCAGACTCTTATTATAGGATAGAGTTGCTCTAATAGCTCCTAAGTGGTATAAGTATAGGTGTTAAGTACATTGTTTAATTGCATTATGGGTTCTATGTTACTAAGGAAAAAGAAGGCTTTCAGTTCTTAAGAGTGCACTTACTCTTTCTCATTTATGAGGGTCTACTCAGTAAAACTGGTTCTTCCAGTGCACTTCTATCAATAGTAGTCTAAAGTGAATCTACAAAGGCCCAAAAGTTGATGTATTTCCGCTAATGGAATACTTTCTTCCTTCTTAACTTGCCAATATTTTGGCTTTTTGAGCTTGAGTGCTCACATAGAGAAATGCATTGTGACACCTTATAAGAGCTCAGGATCACATTCAGATTATGTTGGGGGTTCATTTGAGGATTCTTTGAAATCTATTGCTTTCATTCATTTTACTTTTCTAGAAGTTACCTAACTCCTGAAGTTGCATTCTTTGATTTATGACAAGGTTAGTGACTGCCATATTCTTAGTATTGGCATTTATTATTTATTCTTTGTAGCTAAACATTTATGTCCTGGAGCAATTTTGACCTGAATTCTACTACCTTCTAGATTTGGACTGTGATCCTAAGTATTGTATCTATTTTCTGTCTACTAGCTAAAACTACACATCAGATTCATTAAAGAAAGAGAAAATATAGTATATACAAGGGTCCAGTTGTATTTGAGTGTTCATGACTGGTAGGGAAAAGGTAGAAACTATAAAATCATAGCAACTGAAAATTCCCATCATCTACAGTGAAAGTAAATGATGAGTAAAAAGTACTACTACCTAATTTTATTATTTTGTTCTTTAAATGGCCAGAATTAGTGAAATTGTAATTAACAAGTTGCCTGTGAGAATAATAAAGTTCATAGCGTTTCATTTTCCTATATCACCCTCTAATTACTAGCTTATTAGGTTTAAATAAGACATTTTAATTTGTTTGGGAATAGGGTCTGTTGGTGAGAATCATGTCATTTACCATCTTAAAACTTTTGCTATTTTCCTTGTTTCTTCTAAGAAGGTTGAATATTTAGCATGATGAGGCTATGAACTTTGTTCCCTGTCAGCTTTTCTGTCTACTTTCCTTCTTTTCTCTTTGTCCCTTTTTATACTAGTAAAACCAGCTTCCTAGGACCATTCAGACATACCTCATACTTCTGCATATTTCCCCTTCTCTCCTGCCCAAGGGAATCTTTTATCTGTTTATAACTCAGTTCAGATGGTAACTTCCTCTGTGAGGCTTTGCTCAGGCCCAGTTTCCTTGCTGACAGTTAATTACAATCATTGGACTTTGTAATTTAACACACTTTCACTACATTTACTAGACATGTTGTGCCTTTTTGTTTAGTCATCTTTGTGTCTTCAGGCTCCAGCAGGTCTCCTGATGCCATGTAACCCAGTAAATACTCAATGAATTGAAATTTGTATGGATTTGATTTTTGTTTTTTTTTTTTTTTGGGTGGGGGGGAGCGTTTTGAGATGATCTCCCTGTAGCTCTAGCTGGCCTAGAATTTGCAGACCAGGATGGCCTCTGCTTTTCAAGTGCTGGGATTAAAAGCATGTACCACCAACCATAGCAGACAAAAATTACCAAGGGAGAAATGGGGAAAATGGGGCAGTTTAAATTGGGAGGGTGGAGGGAGAAGATAAGACAGGGAGAGAAGGAGGAGAGACAAATAGTGCCTAGCTAGTATAAAAAACCAGAGGGAATGGTATTAGTCCAAAAACCTAATTGGACCTAAAGCCCACTCAGTGGGTGGAAACTCATGTGTGGTACCATAAACCTAGCCAAATACACATAGCTGGAGAGGTTATAATCTTAGAGAAAACTCCAAGACTGTCACATCCCTAAAAAATGTAATATGGATCCTTAAATCTATAGACAAGTATCCCAGTCACCACCCATCAAAGAAATTTCATTTTCAATAGATAGAGGTGGTTGCATAGTTCCACAACTGGTCACACACAGAGATTGTCTGTGAATTGCCCAAGCCTAAGTTGCATCTAGGATGCAACCTCTACACCCAAGGCTCATGGAACCTAGAGCAAGGGATGAAAAGAATACTAATGCATCTTTCGATTCTCATCAATGAAGTTCCCTCATGCAACAGAGGGCCAGGAATGTAAAGGGTCACAAATGACCAAAACAGAGAATAAGAGCCTTGAGAGTATAGGTTCTTGGACAGGACTCCTATATTAAAATCCACCCACCCAAGGCTCAAGGATCATTGTGGAAAAGGGGAGCTGAAAGATTGAAAGAGCCAGGGAGAGGTATAGGACCATACAGAAATAGTCCTACAGGCTCCTGGGACTCTTCTCATATGAACGTACAGCAATGGTGTCAGCATACACAAGACCCATGCAAACATAAACAGACAAAAACCTAGCACAGAACTGTGGAAATGAATAGCAGGCCTCAGTCTTAGTCGAAGAATTATTGGCAGCTGATTACTGCTGGGTGAGAACGAGCTGACCTTCTTAAATGGAGGGACTCTAGATAGACTGACTAGATCCCAGTGGATGAATTTGCACTGAGGGACATCTGAAGACACTAACTTTACATGATAGACCTTAACACAGATGACAGAATGTATGAACTCCAGTGGGGGAGGAGTGCTGTGGGAGGGTACCAAAGGGGAAGGGGGTATTAAGATGATTTTCTGTATGAAATACACAAAAATTCAATTAAAAAAATTTTAAAAAGCATGTACTACCACATCTGGCCTGAAATTAGTATGGATTTGAAATGAATATTAGTTCATTTTTCCCCTTTTGGATTTGAAGTTCATGTTAGAGTAATGTTCATGTACATAGGCCTGCATCATCATTTATCTCTAATGGTAACTCATGACTAAGGTGTTTTCTGGGTTATTTTTCCTATATTGTGATTGATGTATATAATGCTTAAGGATACCAACCACTACCCTTACTTATGATTCATTTCCTCAACATTTTTTCTGGCATTATGCTCTTTAAGGCTTAGAGCCTCCATGACACTTTAAAAAAAAAAGCAAGAATACTACTACCTTTGCACCAAAAAATGATTATGCGAAAGTATTTTAACATTGCAAGGACTATAAATATGTCATATTGAGAGACAACTAGAATTTCTACATGCCAATACATTAATATTATCACAGTTAGTTCTAGGATTCCTGAAACCTGAGGTTATTCCAGGAAAAAAATGATGACTGGCTCTTCCTGCATCAGATCCTCAATGGAGACAAGAGAATTGATAGTGGTTGCCTTTCTTCCTTACCTTCTTTGCTTCCTTCTTTTCTTTATTCAGCAGTAAGTATTACAGCAAAACATAGGACACCCAGAGACGCTATTCAAGATTATTATATCTAAATCAAGAACTTTTAAGCCGTTAGAACCCAAATATGGATGACTGGCTCTTCCTGCATCAGATCCTCAATGGAGACAAGAGAATTGATAGTGGTTGCCTTTCTTCCTTACCTTCTTTGCTTCCTTCTTTTCTTTATTCAGCAGTAAGTATTACAGCAAAACATAGGACACCCAGAGACGCTATTCAAGATTATTATATCTAAATCAAGAACTTTTAAGCCGTTAGAACCCAAATATGCCACCTCTGTTGTGGTATGGCCCACTTT